CTGCGGCCGCCCAGGAACCCCAGCGGAATCAAAAATGCGCCAAGCCTATCCGAAACGGAAAGGACGGCTCGCAACGCCGAGCCACGCCGAACCGGCAGGCTTCAGATACGGAACCCAATCGAACCTGAGGTGCTTCAGCACGTAGCCTGACCGAACCGGCCGGCGCTTTCTTGTTGTTGTGGCCAACGGGAGGGCTCAAACGTACGCGATGAACCTTATGAACATTGACCAAACTATGACGTGCACAACCCATCCCTGAACAAGTCAGAATCTCCACGGCAAACCATCAGACACAGCCAAAACTTACACGACAAACCCTGAACCAAACGTGACGCACACAACAAAGCACTGAATGACCAAACTTTGCAGGGCCAAACCAAATGACGGCCAACACGTACACGACAAACCGTGCACCAGGCTCTTATTCATGCTCCTGCTTCTATTCGTACTCGTGTTTCTTGTTCTCCTACTCCTCTTCCTCCTCCTCCTCCTCCTCTTCATGCTCTGGTTCATCTCCTCCTCCTCATCTTCTTCCCTTCCCACCGCTAGCTGGACATAGAATACATGAGTCAGTCCTGAACTAGCGCCAACATTTGGACGGCACAATCCGCAGCTGGTCAAAACGTAAACACCAAACGAGGCGTACAACCAGACGCGTCGTTAGGGAGGGCTGGGCACCACTAAATCCGACGGCTACACGCAGAGAGGGCGAATGCTTCTCAAAATGGCTCACCTTGGAGCCGCGCAGACCCGTCTGCAACAAAACAAGGAAAGCGGAGGTTTAACAAAGAACTGATCTCGCCTTGGCGCCGCGGACATTCGTCTTAAACGCTTCAGGCAGTTACACGGTTGGAAGCAGGCTCCTTGTCAAAATGGAGCTCTCGCCTGGTACTTCCTCAACAACTAATTATTCGCCGACCCTGTCGGCGTGTGTGAGACGGTCATCGTCGTCGCCGTCGTCGTCGCCGTCGCCGTCGTCGTCGTCGTCGTCGCCGTCGCCGTCGCCATCGCCGTCGCCATCGCCGTCGCCGTCGCCGTCGCCGCTCCCCCCTTTTCCCTAGGCCCTCCTCCTCCTCCTCAAGAGGCCCAGCCAGAATCGGACAACGTAGTAATCAAGTCAAGCGATGCCCCTTCCCTGGGCTCCCCTTTCCCTCCGTGCGGGGGGAGGGGTCCGGGGGGGGGGGGGGAGCGGGGAGGGGTCCCCGGGGAGGTCCTGGGGGAGGGGTCCTGCGGGGAGGTCCCGGGCGGAGGTCCCGGGGATTGTGCCACCTCCCCCCGACCCAGACAGCAAGGCAAGCCCCTTCCCTTCCCGGAGAGTGGTCGCCGGGAGAGGTCCCAAGGGGTCACGAGGGGGGTGGTACTGGAGGGGATCCCGTGGGTTGGACCCCCACCCCTCTCTGAGAGGGGGGGGGCCCGAGCGGAGGTCGCCAGAAGAGGTCCCGGGGAGTCCTGGGGTGCCGTCCTGGGGTGGGTTCTGGGGGTTGTGACCCCACCCATCTCCGATCCAGAATCTTTCTGTTTGTCCTCCTCATCCTCCTCCTATTCTTCCTCTTCCTCCTCCTCGCCCACCTGTTTCATCAGCCTCTCCTCTTACGAGTAGCATGCAGGGTCGGCGGCACCGGCTTCAAGGCTTTCCAAGTATCCGATGTAGAAACTTGCGCGACGGTTACACGGATGGAGGGTGGCCCTTTTTCAAAATGGGGCGTTCGCTTGGGACCTCGCCAGATCTGACTACTATGTCCCTGAAATTGCGCGCAACAATTACCCGGATGGAGGGCGGTTCATTCCTTCTCGAAATGGAATTCTCGCTCGGGACTTTCTTGAACTTGATCCCATATTGTCGCATGGCTTATGGCTCGAAAATTGGAGGAGGGCTCCTTTCAAAACGGAGCTGCCCCCTGAATTGCAGGCCCGAGTGGACCTCGTCTGGTGCTCTTCGAGAGAAGCAGAGCTTAGGTATCGAACTCAGCAACGCCCGAACAGGCATAGAGGTGCTAAACCTGAAGGATAAGTCCCAGAAAGGCTGTCGGCAACTGATGCTCGGGACTCCCAGTGACGTGAACTCCCCACGGACTCACCAAGGACAACAAAGAAGCCCGAAAGCCATGTCAGCTTCATCTGGCAGGGCAGACCTGGATCACCAGATACGGCAACGGTCTCATGTCGGCCAGGAAGCGCCAGAAGGCACCAGCCGAGTCTGATGCTCGACCTCACAGCTGGATGGAACAGCTAGGTTTCTCTCGGAGGCCTTGCTTACGCTACATAGTCTGGCATATGGCCCCGTCGTCGCGGGATATCAAATCCTCAAGTCCCACCAGCCCTGTGGGCGTGAGTGGTTTAGGGAGCTCTCTCTGTTCTCAACCCCCCTTCTTCCCCTGCGGGGAGGGGTTTACCCCTCCACCTACCCCCTCCCCCTGGACCTGGAGAGGTCCTTGACTGCGTTCTGCCAGGAGAGCGCGAGCTGTGCCTCGACGGTTACAAACGTATTGGGCCTCACGTTCACCCGGTGTCTCTCACTTGGGGCCCCTGCTGGCCCCGGGGAGGGGGGAACCCCTCTCTGTGCGAGGCGCACGGAGGTCAGACCTGCCCCTTGCACGGACAGGGACCCCCATGTGCCTGACTGCCGGGTGAGCCGAGGCCACACCGGGCCTCGTGCAGGTGGAACATCATCGCTCTCAGCGAGATGCGTGTATTCTCGACAAGCCTCATCACCCTCGTCCACATCACCAGCCTCATCAGCATCAGCATCATCGTCGTCGCCAACATCACCATCATCATCACCACTACCATCATCAGCATCATCATCATCAGCATCATCATCATCATCATCATCAGTAGCATCAGCAGCCTCAGCATAGTCATCGTCATTAACATCATCAACGTCATCATCATCAGCAGCAGCATCAGCCTTATCATCATCAGCATCATCAGTATCATCATCAGCATCAGCATCAGCATCAGCATCAGCATCAACATCATCATCATCGTCATCATCATCATCATCAGCAGCAGCATCATCATCATCAACGTCATCAGCATCAGCATCAGCATCAACAGCATCAGCATCAGCATCAGCATCAGCATCAGCATCAGCATCAGCATCAGCATCAGCATCAGCATCATCATCATCATCATCATCATCATCATCATCATCATCATCATCATCATCATCATATCATCATCATCATCATCATCATCATCATCACCATCACCATCACCACCATCATCGAAAGAGCGTGCTCCACCGCTGCTGGCGGAAAACCGGGGGGGTCACCAGGGGTTCCCAACCCGTCCCCCCCCCCCTCGAAAACCGGGGGGGGTCACTAAGTTCGAACCCCCCCCCCCTCCCAGTCCATCATGAAGAGGGGGGGGGGTCACTACCGGCTCGAACCCCCCCCTCGAAAACCGGGGGGGGGTCACTACCGGTTCGACCCCCCCTTCGCCGCTTGCAAACGATTCCCGCTCCTCTGGAAGGTTGGACGGTGGTGGGGATACTGGGACAGTGGTTGGGACGATGGTGGTGGGGACAGTGGTGTGAAGACAGTGGGACAGTAGTGCGGACAGTGGTGGGGACGGGGGTGGTGGGGACAGTGGTGAGGGGACAGCGGGACAGTGGTGGGGACAGTGGAACAGTGGTGGGGACGGTAGTGGTGGGGACAGTGGTGAAGGCGGTGGTGAGGACGGTGGTGGGACAGTAGTACAGTGGGGAGAGTGGTGGGAACAGTAGGGACTGTGGGAGAGTGGTGGGGACAGTGGGGACAGTGGGACAGCACAGTGGGACAGGGGCGGGGACAGTGGGGACAGTGGGCAAAGGGTGGAAACAGTGGGGACATTGGGACAGTGGTGGGAACCTTGGGGAAAGTGGGGAGAGCGGGCCCGTGGTGGGACAATGGTGGGGAGAGTGGGGACAGTGAGACACTGGTGGGGGCATTGGTGGGGACAGCGGGGACAGTGGTGGGAACAGTGGGAGAGTGGTGATGACTGTGGGACAGTGGTGGGGACGGTTGTGGTGGGGACAGTGGTGTGGGGACAGTGGGAATGTGGTGGGGACAGTGGGACAGTGGTGGGGACAGTGGTGGTGGGGACAGTGGTGAGGGCGGTGGCGAGGACGGTGGTGGGACAATGGGACAGAGGTACAGTGGGGACAGTGGAGGGAACAGTGGGACAGCTCAGTGGGACAGCGGCGGGAACAGTGGGACAGTGGAGACAGTGGGGACAGTGGGCCAGTGGTGGGGACCGTGGTGGGAACAGTGGTGGGGACAGTGGGGACAGTGCGACAGTGGTGGGGGCACAAGGCACAGGTGGGGACAGTGGGGACGGTGGTGGGAGTGGGGACAGTGGTGGTGTGGACGGTGGTGCCGGGGACAGCGGTGGGGGATGTGGTGCGGACGGTGGTGGGGACCCGGGAGTCGTTTGCCGGCGGTGAGGGGGGAGGGGTTCAAACCAGTAGTGACCCCCCCCCGGTTTAGAGGGGGGGGTGGGGGGTTCGAACCGGTAGTGACCCCATCGGTTTTCCGGAGGGGGGGGGTTCGAACCGGTAGTGACCCCCCCACGGTTTTCCAGAGGAGAGGGAGGGGGGAGGGGTTATAAGGGGGGGATGGGTTTCTCGGGGGAAAAAGGAGGGACCCCCGGGTTCCAGAGGAAGTCGGGGGGAATTCTCCCACAGTAAAGCGGAGGTGGATCAGGCTCTATCTCATCATCATCACCATCACCAGCACTACCATCCTCCTCCTCCTCCTCATCATCATCATCATCACCACCATCATCGTGGTCGTCATCATCATCATCATCATCATCATCATCATCATCATCATCATCATCATCATCATCATCATCATCATCATCATCATCATCAGCAGCAGCAGCATCATCATCAGCAGCATCATCATCATCAGCAGCATCATCCCCAGCATCAATATCAGCATCAGCATCATCAGCATCATCATTATCAGCATCATCATCAACAACATCATCATTACCAATAGAATCATCACCATCCTCGCGTCCACCGTCCAGGAAGATCATCGCAGCCACCGTCCCAGACGGAGGAGCAGCAGCAGGCAAGCAGGCTGCAGCAGGTCTGAGCCCCAGAGAACGACACGCATACCCGTGCACTCGTTTATAGATGCCCGGATGCCCGGCGGCGTCTCGGCCTGCTCGGCGAGTCGCCAAGCACCCTCGCGCCCGCGGCGGCGGCGATCACAGGCGATAGACCTCGGCGCTGGCGCGAGACCACATCTGTACAGTCTGTACAGCCTCCGCCCCGTACTTGTGCGAGCAGGCGTCTCTGATTCTTAGTTCGCCACGATGGGAATGGATCCTGAAATTGTCAGCCCCTTTCGAGCCTCCGGAGGCTTCTGGGGGATCTGCAGACGCCCCCAGGCACCTCTGGATCCTCCAGGCCTCGAGGACTTCTGGGGACCTCAAGACAGCTATACCCTGCCATGAGGGAAAAAGGTCCCGAAGGACACAGGTCCCGGACCCTGCGGCGTTCACGACGTCGCCTTTTGATCCCGGATCGGTTTTGACGGGCCCTGAAGACAGGAAGGGCCCCGAGAGGCGCAGTTTGAGAGAAAAGCTTCAGGGCCTCATCCCAGAAGGCGGGAGAGGACCACCCCTACAGAAGGAGCCGAGCAGGCCGGGACCCTGGCGAGCGCAGAAGAACCCGTGCAGTCGACAGACATTCAGCTGGCAGGGGTGGCTCGTCCGTCGTTGACTTTACCTCTTCGGGCGCGGCTAGACCGCCCCCTTTCTGCCACGACCCCCTCGCCTCCTTCCAAAATGTGGGCTGATGGCCGGAGGGGTGCCGAGCCCTCCACAAACCCCCACGCCCATGAGCCCACATCCTACCTGGAGGCCCTCTCGAGTCGAGGGCCTCGAGACCCGAGTCGAGGGTCATCGGGACAAGTCGGTTTGCTAGGGGTTGGTTGCGCCGCCCACGACCTCGTGGCCGCAAATCCCACCAGCCTTCTGGGCGGAGGTGGTTTAGAGAGCCCGTTCTGTTCCACCCCCTTCTTCCCCTTCGGGGAGGGGTTTATTACTGTTCCCTATTAATATACACCCCCTCCCCCAGGCGACCGGCGTCGAACCAGGAACCATGAGGACACCATGACGACCCGCCCCCCATCATCCCTGTCCAAAAACAATACACACCGCACTCTGCCTCGACATTTGGAGCATGCGCGGCCAGCCCGATGCGCCCCCCCCCACCATCCCTGTCAAAAACCATGCAAAGCGTTGGGGCAAAGTCTTGACTCATGTTCGTGAGGCTTGCGAACACTTTGTATTGATTTTACAGGGAGGGCGGGGGTGCCAGCATATTCCCTGCCGCGCGCAGAGCTACTATCCTTCACACCAAAAAACAACATGCACCTCGCGGCTAAATCTGGACCATGCGTGGCCATCCCGCGATCACTGTCAATTTGTTTGACAGGGACCGCGTCGGTGGTGGCGCGTGTCCTGCTGCGAACAGGTCCACCAGACACAAAAATAGGTATTGGTGTTCGACAAGGATGGCGGGGGCCGGCATGTTTCCCGATGCGTGCTGTCACGTGCGCAGGAGGGCCTGACTCAATTTGCACGTGCCCCGAACATGGCGCACCTGGCGAGGCTGGAGTGTGCGGCACACCTGGCGCACTCGGAGCACGTGGCGCATCTGGCGCACCAGGCGTGCCTGGCACTCTCGGGCCCCAGGGGTGCCTGGCGCGCGGGCGCCCCGGGCACGCGCGGCGCACCTCGCCCACGCGTCGCGCACCTGGGGTCGGTTTTGGTTCCCAGTGGCTGCCCAATTCATCACGACCGTTGAACATGCTCAGGCTCGGGTGTTACTCATGTGTCGGGAAGAAGGATGGGAGTGAGCTAGACGGCTTGCGGGCGGGTGGGTACCTTGATCACTGTTCCCTATGAATCCGCCGACCCTGTCGGCGTGTGCGAGGGGCTTGGCTGTTCGAGTCGTCGTCTCCGTCGGTCGTCGCCTCCGTCGTCCCCTTTCCCTGCAGCTTCCTTCTCAAGCTCGTGAGCGAGAGAAAAATCTAGCAGTGTCGTAATCGAGTCGAAGGGAAGCCCCTTCCCTTTGATCCCTTCCCCAGGGGGGGGGGGGTCCCGGGGGGGGTCCCGGGGGGGGTCCCGGGTCCCGGGGGGGTCCCGGGGGGGGTGGGGGGGCAGATTCGTTTTTCCTCGGGCGGCCTAGAAACCTCGAAAACACTCCAAATGAGGTCCGAATGCCCAAGATGGCCCCCGAGACGGCCCAAGAGGGCCCCGAGTCGCCCAAAGATCGGCCGAAAACGCCCAAGATAGCCCCAAGACCGTCCAAGAAGCCTCCAAGACGTCCCAGGCCCCCTCCAAGAGACCCCCAGGAAGCCCCAAGAGGCCCCCACGAGGCTTCCAAGCGGCCCCTAAGAGCTTCCCAAGAGGCCCACAAACTACCCCCAAGAGGCCCCCAAGAGCGCACGTCGTCGTCGTCGTCGTCGTCGTCGTCGTCGTCGTCGTCGTCGTCGTCGTCGTCGTCGTCGTCGTCGTCGTGGTCGTCGTCGTCGTCGTCGTCGTCGTCGTCGTCGTCGTCGTCGTCGTCGTCGCCATTCAGGGTCGGCGGCACCGGCCGTAAGGCCTTCGCAATACACCCCCTCCCCCAGACGACTGGGAGCCAACCCAAGTCCATGCGGGCACCCCACACACACACCATCCCTTGTACAAAACAATACAAACACACTCCCTGCCCCCACCATCCCTAAACAAACAACAATACAAAACACACTCTGTTTCCAAATTCGGAGCATGGGCAGCGAACCCGATGCGGCCTCCCCCCACCATCCCTGTCAACAAGAACAATACAAGAGTCTACTTGGCAGCGGCGGCGGCGGCGGCAGCGGCTGCGGCGGGGGCAGCGGCTGCGGCGGCTGCGGCGGTGGCGGCGGCGGGGGCGGCGGCGGCGGCGGCAGCGGCGGCGGCGGCGGCGGTGGCGCGGCGGCGGCAGCGGTGGCGGCAGCGACTGCGGCACAGCGGCTGCGGCGGCGACGATTTGGCAGCGGGGGCAGCGGGGGCGGCGGCAGCGGCGGACAGCGGCGGCGGCGGCGGCGCGGCGCCGGCGGCGGCGGCGGGCAGCGGCGGCGGCTGCGGAGGCGGAGGCGGCGGCGGCTGCGGATTGGCCCCCAGTAGCTGGCCATCCAAAGACGACTGCTGCATATATGCTGCGGCTCGGGCCAGGCTCGGGTGCTACGTATGTGTCGGGAGGGCGGGTGGGAGTGAGCGAGACGGCTTGCGGGCGGCGAGGGAGACTCTTGACCCCTCCCCCTACCCACTCCCCCTGAGCCTGGAGGGGGGGGCCGCGGGTCATTGGAGCGTCTGACTTGGCCTAAGATGGCGCCAAAACAGTCCAAGATCGCTCAAGATAGCCCTCGATGACTCAAGATAGCTCCTAAGAAGCCTACACGAGGCTCCAAGACCGCCCACAGACGGCCCCAAGTGGCCATGGAGCCTCCCAATGACGCCCCCGAGAGGCCAAAATCCTTCAAGAACCAAAGGAAAATCAGTGTGGTTGGCATTCTCACCGTTTCGCTTTCAATGGGCTCTTGAGGCTTCAGGATGGCCCAAAGATGGCCCAAGAGAGCCCCAAGACAGGCCCCAGAGAGGCCCAAGACGGGCCCAAGAGCGCCCAAGAGCAACCCAAGAGGGCCCCAAGAGGCGACTTGTCGGGTTCCGAAGGGAGGGGGCCGTGATTAACGCAGAGCTCCTTTTTGAGCCGTGGCCTCCAAGATGGTCCCAAGAGACCTCCCAGACACCCCCCAAAGAGCTCCAAGAGGGCCCCAAGACCCCCCAAAAGAGCCCCAAGGGTGCCCCAGGATGCACCACGAGGACCCCAAAAGGGTCCAGAGACCTGCAACACAGCCCCCAGGAGCGACAAACCCAGAAACGTTTTCATGGTTGACTTCGTCGTCGTCGTCGTCGTCTTTGTTTTCGTCGTCGTCATCCTCGTTGTCGCTATCCTCATCTATCCGCACACCGCCTTCTCTTCCTACTGCTCCGTCTCGTCCTCCTCCCACTGCCCCCACAAGAATGTGCAACAGAAAATGATAGGAGGTGGGCGGAAGAGGAGGAGGAGGTATACGAGAGTAGAAGGAGACACGCCCGAAAGTCACGATCGTCGGTGTGCATCGAAACATCTGCTGTTTTGGGATGGGCTGGTGGCGATACGTTTTTGGTCAACAGGCTCGCGAGGCGGGTCGAAAGCCGTCCGAACACTAGTCGGGCCGCGACTAGGCAGCAGGAAAAGAAAGGCAAGCGAAGGCTGGTGGCGATGCGCGAAGCGCGAACAATTTGGCACGAGGGAGAGGGTTGGTGGAAAAAGGCCCTGGACCCTGGGTCTTTCCCTGGGACTTGTTTTTGTATCCCGATGTTTCTTTGACGGTCCCGGGGAGTGCCCCGCGAGCTCGAAAACGCAACATCCACCAGTCCCCTTGTGGGACCATCAGGCTGCGGGGATGAGGTTCCTGCAACCTGCTCCAGTTCCACTTTCCTTCTTCTATCTGATTCCTACTGTAAGCTGCTACTGTCCGCGCGAAGGGGGGGAACCGACAACCGGCACTTCAACACGCCAAAGCCGCGTGCTCAAAATCTCTGGAGGGCCCTGGGACACGTAACCATACGTGAGATTCGCGCCCTCGAAGCACGAATCCTTTGTAAGTACACCAGATTCGCGCTCCCGAGGCCAGAATCCTTAGCACAACATTACCCCAAATGCGCGCTCCCGAGATCAGAATCCCTTCTAGAAAGCACTAGAACCATCGCGCGCGCTTCGCGCGCGCTCAGGTTCTAGCAGGCCCGAGGCCTTGACGAGTTCATTGCTCCACTGAAGAAGTGGACCACACTCCACGCATGTCAATCCACATTCTGAAGGCTCGGGGAAGATGCTTGCGTAGCGGGGCGGAGGCCAGATGAATCGGGTTCCCAGAAGACCTTATGGGAACATGGGTTTGGAGGGCGTCTTGGAAAGCCTGTTGGGGAGTGCCGTCGTCGTCGTCGTCGTCGTCTTCGTCGTCGTCGTCACCGTCGTCGTCGTCGTCGTAATGTGTCGTTGCCTCTTGGGGCGCGCCGTCGTCGTCGTCGTCCTCGTCCTCGTCTTCGTCGTTTCGTCGTCTTCGTCGTCGTCTTCGTCGTCGTCATCATCGTCGTCGTCGCCGTCGGTTCAAGAGGGCACTTGGGGCAACTTTGCGTGAAACGATCTGCGGGGGGCCGCGAGAAGGCGATCAGTCATGTGCCCAGTAAACTTCCCAGACAGATCTCCGATAGCGTTATGGTACTTCGGAGCCTCCAGAGGCTGTCGAGCCCATGATGAGCCATGACCCCAAAGGCTTTCAAGGGACATGAGTTCCTGGGGCGTGTTGGGGGCCTCTTGGCGTTCCCTGGGGGCCCCTTCGGGGGGTCCGGGAACTCTCGGGCTCATGATGAACCGTGTCCCCGGACGGCGTTCTGGGGACATGAGTTCTTGGGGTGTGTTGGGGGGCCTCTTGGGCGTTCCCTGGGGGCCCCTTGGGGGCCTCCGGAACTCTCGGACCCATGATGAACCATGTCCCCGGAAGGCTTTCTGGGGACATGATTTCTTGGGCTGTGTTGGGGGGGCCTCTTGGGCGTTCCCTGGGGGCCCCTTGGGGCTCTCTTGGGGCCTCCTGGGGGACTCTCTGGCGCAACACGGGGCTTCGTGGGAGCCTCTTGGTGGCCTCCTGGGAGCCTCCTGGGCCGTCTTGGGGCCCTCTTCGGGGCCTCGTGGGCCGTCTTGGAGCCATCTAAAGGGCCTCCGAGGCGGTGAGGGAGCGCTGGGAAGCGGAAAAAGCGAGAACGTCCAAATCCTTCGAAAACCATCAGAAGATTTGTGAATTATGCCTCCCAGGGCAGCCTCTCAAGTCCGTTCTGGAGCGTGTTGCAATCCTCGTCGGCCGCCTTGAGGGCAGCTTGGGCGGTTTCGGGACCTCTTGGGAGCGTCTCGGGCTCTCTCGGGACCCCCTCAGCCTGTCGTGGCCTGCTTCGGGGCGCTCCCAGGCCGCCTCGAGACCCCTCTGGGCGCCCTCTTGGGGCGCTCTTGGGGCACACTTGGGTTGTCTCGGGAGCATCCTGGGCCGTCTTGGGACCCTCTTCGGGGCCTCCTGGGCCGTCTTGGAGCGATCTAAGGGGCCTCCGAGGCCGTGAGGGAGCGCTGGGAAGCGGGAAAAGCTAGAACGCCAAAATTCTTCGAAAACCATCGGCAAATGAATTAATTTGTGCCTCCCAGGGCCATCTTGGGGAGCCTCTCAAGTCCGTCCTGGAGCGCGTTGGAGTCCTCGTCGGCCGTCTTGAGGGCATCTTAGGCGTCTTCGGGGCCTCTTAGGGAGCCTCAGGGGGTCCTCTTGGGGCGGGGGGCTCACAATTCCAATTGGATTTCCCCAGCTCGGGCTCCTCTTGTGGCCATTTGGGAGACCGTTCCTCCGCTGCCTCTGGGACTGTCTTGGGACCCTCTTGGGCCGTCTTGGCGCCCTGTGAGGGGTCTCTTGGGCCTTGTTGGGGCGATCGTAGGGGCCCCCGAGGCTGTCAAACACGGTGCGATGATGAAAACATGAATGCGGTTAATATGTACGTTTGACAAAGGGAACAGGGTCATGTTTGCCTATCGGGGCCCTCTGGGGGGTCAAATTACACGGGTCATGAGGCGTCTTGGAGGCCTCGTGTTGGCTGCTTAGGGACCACTTGGGGGTCTCGGGGGTCCTCTTGGGGCGTGGGGCTGGCAATTCCAATTCGATTGCCGCATCTTGGGCTCCTCTACGAGGCTTCTGGGAGGCCGTTGGGGCCGTCTTGGGTGCCTCTGGGAACAGCCTGGGACCCTCTTGAGCCGTCTTGGCGCCTTCTGGGGGGCCTCTCGATCTCAGGGGCCCCTGAGGTCGTCAAGGATTGTGCGAAGACTAAAAACACGAATACTGTAAAAATGCACGTTTTACGAAAAGGAGTGGGCTATTTTTGCCTCTCGGGGCCCTCGTGGGGGGGGCAAATTGCACTGCTTACGAGGGGTCTTCGAAGCCTCTGGGGCCGTTGGAGACGTCCCGTGATCCGTCGAAGCCGTCTTCAGGCTGGTGGGCGGCTGGCTGGGGCCGCCGTGACGCTCATCGGACCGCCCTCCGAGGCGATTTTGGGACCCCCAAGGTCCGGCCGGGCCCCCAGGCCACACGTTTGTGGTAGAGGTCGTGGCCCCTGGGCCCCCGGGCCCGGTCCCCCGTTATGTGAATATGCCCGACTCGCGCTTCCGAAACCAGACATTTGTGTAGAATACACCAGCTTCGCTCTCTCTGAGAAGGCAATAAAGAGTTCAACAACGTCGACACATCCCGGCATAGCTCTGACATCTCCCATTATAGAATATAGAGGGGGGCGGCGGCAGAGGGGGAAGCCCTTACGGATAACTCCACGACCCTTTCCTCTAGGATCCCTCTTCCTGATGGCGGCCCTGGGAAAACATACACCAGACCCCTCTTGGGGGACTTTCCGACCAGAATCTCGAGTTGACTCGGGCCGTGGCGACGAGAAGCATACCGAAAAAAACCCTCGGGAAAAAATCGAAACGCCCGCAAAGCCTCCAGGATCTCTTCCCATCACGGCGATAAATCCGCGCCCTCCGCAGTGCCGAGGGCGCGGATTGGCCGCGTGCCGAGTGCCGAGTCGGCGCGCGGCCATTCCGCGATGGCGAGCTGGAACCCCGGCCCTGACAGGCCGAAGCAGACTCCGCAACAGTGGCGAGGGCAAGCGCAGGGGCACGCACAACCCGCCGAGGGAACCTCCGACAGCAACGTCTTGGTGCAGGAGAGGGCGCCCGGCGGAGTAGCGCCGACAACAGTCCATCGACCCGTCCGGCACGCCGACCCATGACAGTGGAGGCCGCCCAAGAGGGGCTGGACCCGCAGATCTGGGGGGATACAAAGAGCCCAGGGACGTACCCAACCCATCCGACATGAATGGAACATCGGCGGCCCCTCCCCACGCAGATGAGTTCACCAAGGGGCGTGCAATTCCCGGTGGCGGAGAGGTAGAGACTGGAGGAAACAAATTAGCAGGAGGCAGAGGAAGGACGGGAAACTCTGAGGATGAGCGCCGAAGAGGAAAAGGAGGAGGGCATGCATTGGCGGGCAGGGAGAGCAAGGACACGGAAGAGAAAAGTGCCGCCGACAAAGAATGACGACCGCTGTTCTACCAGCTGCTAAATTATGCAGGAATGCTGCCAGGCCGCGGCCCTGAGCGCTTGGGCATGGGCACCCACATTGCGCAACAGCGCAGCCTAATCCGCTGGCGAACTCCCGTCCAGTTTTGCGTAGTGGCGCGCCGCGTTGAACCTCTTAGCAGCCCACAAAAGAGGCGTCAGTTTCGCACTTGGCAGCCCCCAGGGAGACGAGGTCTGGCGTGGTTTCTGCGTTGGACCGCGCTCCGCTGTACCTCCCTGTTGCTTGCGAAACTAGCAACAGCTTGGTATTTGGTAACACTCAGAGCAAGCCGAGGTCCCGTTTGGATCCGCGTAAAGCGTCACTCCGCTGGACCTCCCAGCGGGGCCCAAAGGGCGTTAATTGCACGTTTGTAAGCACCCAGGGATGGCGAGGTCTCGTGCGGGTCCGCGTAAGAGGTCACTCCGTTGGACCTTCCAGGAGCTCACAAAAATAGCAACACTTGCGAAGCTCCCATCTGGGTTCGCGTACAACCATGCTCCGCTGGACCCCCCTCCCAGGACGTGGAGATAGTTGCGCTCCGCTGCACTCCGCTGCACCCCCAGAAACTCACGAAAGTAGTCACGATGGCGCAGATGGAAGCACCCAGGGAGGCGAGGTCCAAATTTGGGTATGGGCAGGACGCCAATCCGTTGTACCCTCCAGGAACCCAAGAAAAAACATACAGGGAGGCAAGGTACCATCTACGTCTGCGTTGGACGTCATTCCGCTGAACCTTCTAGGACCTAACGAAAGTTGCGACAAATGCGCAGCTGGCAGCCCACAGGGAGGGCGAAGTCTCACCTGAGCCTGCGCACGTCGCTGCTCCGCTGGACCTCACTGGGGCTCACTAAAGTGGGACAAGACAAGCTCCGCAGTTTGCAGTACTCATGGAGGCGAGGCAGGACGCAGGTACAAGGCAGAAGGGAAGAGGGGAAGAGGAAGGGGAGGGAGGGAGGAGAACGGAGACGCTGAGACGGAGACCAGCGGTGCCCTCTCCAAAACGAGAGCCCCTCCGAAGGAAAGCTGGGGAAACACGGGCCTCTGGAGGCTGGTTCCCGACCCTGGGAAGCACCGTGGGAAACTTTTCGGGATGAACGGCCCCGGAGAAGGTGCCGAGCTGTCCTGGGGCCGACGATACAAAAGACTTGCAACGTTGGAGGAGAGTGGAGCAGAGAGGGTCGGAAGAACGCACCACTCCGCCGATGCATTGCCGGTGCATTGGCGGCGGCGGGGTGGAACAAACCCGGCTCCCGATCGCGCCGCATCGACGATGCACCGGCGATGCGGCGCGATCCTCCGATCCCATCTGCTGTGGAGGCATTTGCGCGGCCTGGAGACGCGGGGAGCCGCTCGACCAACCTCGCCAGGTAAAACCGAGATCGTGACCTGCAGCCAGGGCGGCCAGTCTGCGCCACGGGAGCCCCCTCGTTTGCGTGCGCGTCGGGGGCACCGCCTCATGGGCTGCAGACCACGGAGACGGAGCTCACTGCCCAGGGCTCTCCAGTATGTTCACTTCGTGCCCCGTGACATTCTCGATGAAGTCTATGAACATGCTGCGTGGCATCTCCAGCGTCGCATGGCAAGCGTTCGGATGGAATGCCAGGTATTCGTGCCGAAGAGCGTTGGCATCCAGATAAAATGTTACCCTGGGCAAGATTGCGTTGCCATCGGGCCCCTGTCCAAGCTTGGCGGGAGAATCGTTGATGAGGCCGAATGGTGTCACGCTACCTGGAATCAGCCGCAACACGTCGAAGAGGACATCGTTGGAAGCGAACGACGCCCCGCCAGATGCCATGCCCTTGAGCCTCAACTTGCCGAGCTTAATATCAGTGCCCACAAGGGCAGATATGAGGAACAAATTCTTTTTCTTGTCCTTGACGAACAAGTTTTTCGTCTCCGGGGCACCCGACGCAGGTGCTTGGCACAGCCGCTCCGCCTGCTCGCACGTGTACACCGGCGGGTGGAGGGACAGGTAGACTGGGCCTGGGCCTGGAGGGGAGAGGGATGCACGACGCGGAGAGGGGCCCCTGGGGGCCCAAAGGATATACACCACCACCACGCCGATTCCACCTCTCTCCTCTACCCTCACCTTCCCTTCCTCTTCCCTGGGAGAGGGAGGGGGGTGAGGGAGGTGGTGGTGGTGTATATTTTTGGGCCCCCCAAGGGGGACGGGGGGGCGGGGATGAGGACGAGAAGGGAAGGGGGAGGGCCGAGGACCACGACGGGCAGGGCCGGAGGGAGACAGCGCGGCCCTTGAGCACGGGAGAGCCTCGGGCGCTTCGGGCTCACGTCTCGCCAGCGAGAGGGCGGCCGCCTCCGCATCGACAGGGAGACCTCAGCTGAAGGGGCCCTGGGACACACAAATAAATAGACACAAATAACAGAATCCCCCATATTTCCCGGATGTTCGTCTTCCCCCCCACTTCCCACATTTTCGCACACTTTCCTGGGAATCGACGATGAATTGTGTCTGTGTGTTTGCGTCCTTCCTGATCAGCCCAGATCAGGCCCTCCGCCAGATCGCGGCGGCACACACCCGGACGAGGACGGGGACGGGACCGGTCGGGGACAGCGGCCGCGTGGCCACGGGGCGGAGAGGGCGCCGAGAGGACGGACGGGGCAGGTCGGGCCGCGCAGACGACGGGCCCCCGGCCTCGGGCCCCGCCCAGGAAGCCGTGGTCGGCCAGCGCCCGCATGCAGCCCTGCAGGCCCTCGTCCAGCAGCCGCCGGTCCCCCTCCGAGGTCTGCTGCTCGGGGTTCCCCAGCCGCGCCCGCGAGGCGTCCACCCTGATGAGGGGGAACGGGAGTGGGGGGTCGGGCTCAGGGGGGGGGGGGGCATCGAGCTTGAATCAGCGATACATCGCCGGTATATCGGCGATAGGACCCCGATAGCGAAACCGAACATTCCTGGACGCGGGCTGGGGGGTCGGAGGATCGCGCCACATCGCCGATACATCGCCGATGCATCGGCATCGGCGACTCATCGGCGACGTCGGCGATGCATCGGCGCCGTCCGTCGTCGCGGAGAACGCCAGGCTCCACGTCGATGCGCATCGCCGAGGCAGTGGCGATGCGGCGCGGCCTTGCGACCCCGTCGACTCCAGCCAAATTTGGGAGGCCTGAACGTGGGCTATTAATGGGCGTGGGGGGTCGACGTATCCCCCCTGAGCCGATCCCCCTTCAGCGTGGCGACCGCTGGTTTCGCCGACGGCTGGCTTTGCCCGGCTGGTTTCGCCCAGCTGGTTTCGCCGCCCCGCGAAACCAGCTCCGTCGGCGAAACCAGCTCCGTCGGCGAAACCAGCTGCTGTCGGCGAAACCAGCTGTCGGCGAAACCAACTGCCGTCGGCGAAACTGCCCGACCCGATGCGCCCGCTAGGGTCCGCCCGCCCGACCCGGCCCGCCCGTTAGGGGTCCGCGCGTGCTCCGTCGAGAGCGCCCCACACTTTCATATCCCGCACGCCCGACCCGACCCGCCAGTCAGGGTTCGCCCGCCCGACCCGACACTACCCGCCCGCTAGGGTCCGCCCGACCGACCCGACCCGCCCGTTAGGTTTCGCGCGTGCTCGGTCGAGAGCGCGCCACACTTTAATGTCCCGCCCGCCCGACCCGCGCGTTTGGGTCCGCCCGCCCGACCCGACCCGACCCGCCCTCTAGGGTCCGCCCGCCTGACCCGACCCGCCCGTTAGGGTTCGCGCGTGCTCCGTCGAGAGCGCCCCACACTTTGATGTCCCGCCCGCCCGACCCAACCCACCCGTTTAGGCCCGCCCGCCCGACCCGCGTGCTCAGTCGAGAGCGCCCCACACACTTTAATGTCCCGCCCGCCCGACCCGACCCCCCCGTTAGGGTCCGCCCGCCCGACACGACCCGACCCGCCCGCTAGGGTCCGCCCGCCCGACACGACCCGACCGTTAGGGTTCTCGCGTGCTCGGTCGAGCGTGCCCCACACTTCAATCTCCCGCACTCCCGACCCGACCCGCCCGTTAGGATCCGCCCACCCGACCCGACCCGACCCGCCCGCTAGGGTCCGCCCGCCTGACCCGACCCGCCCGTTAGGGCGCGCGTCGGCGAAACCGGTGGGGCGAAACCAGCGCCGGCGAATCCAGCCGCCGGCGAAACCAGCGGGGCGAAACCAGCGGGGCGAAACTAGCGCTGGCGAAAACAGGCGCCAGCTAGCGAAACCAGCCGTCGGCGAAACCAGCGGGGCGAAACCAGCGCCGGCGAAACCAGCTCATGCCCCAGGCGTTGCCCCTGACCTCGGTCTTCGGGTCACGACTCGGGTCTCCGGCGGCCGTTCGGGACGATCTGGACACCCCTGAAACACCCTCGGCGAAGCGCAGCTGCTGGAGCGCATCCCGAGGCTGGAAAACGTTCAGGAACCCACGAAAACGTCCGAAAACCTCCAACCTCGAACCTGCATGCCGTCCCCCCTGGACCGATTCCCCGTAAGGCGCGGCCTCATCAACCACTACTGTGACCAGTACCTTCCGTGACGTCGTTCTCGTCTTCCAAACCTCCCTCCGGCCGCACACATACGCCTTGGGGTGAGGCGAGGGGAACGTCACGGAGGGGCACGAGTTGACAGGGGTCCCTAGGCCGCAATTGGCCCCTCTACGTTACCCCCGACCTCCTTGGACGCCCAACACCACATGTTGCTCAAAACCGACACCAGCCGCAGTTGGGCAGGCGGCCTTCTGTCCCGAGTGGACAGCGCCCGCGGCGACAACAACAGCGGGTCCTGTTCAAAACGAGCAGGGACTGCTGTTGGTCATCGTGCCCTTTCTTTCCGTGCCCACTTCCATCGTACCGAACCTCAGGACCCCGAGCCCGCTCCCGCCGGCGACAGGCCCGGACGCGAGCCGCTCGAAGGTCAGCGGCGCCGCCGCGCAGCCGGCCGCGCCGGCCGCGCCGGCCGCGCCGGCCCCGGCGGCAGGCCCGGGCCGCCCGCCGCCCTGCGGCGGCCCCGCGGCTCCGCCGCCGTGGCCCGCCGAGCCCTCGCTGCAGGCGTCGGCTGCCAGGCCTCTCGCGGCCTCGGCGGGCCCGGGTGCCGCGAAGGGGGCCCCGAGCCCGGCCAGGTACTCCAGGGATCTCGGGTGGAGAAACGAGGACGCGGGCATCCACTCTCGCAGGCCCGCGCGGACCTCTCGGATCGGCGCCGGGGACCCCCTGGCGGCGCCTCTGGCGCCGCCCCTGGCGCGCTCCCCGCGCAAGACAGGGGGGTTGTCCAACGCCGATGCGCGAGATCCGCGCGGACCTCCGAAAGTGAATGCGTTCGTCATGGTTTGTGCTCCACGAGGACAGCCCGCTGCCGCCCGCCGTCATCTCGGCGAGCACCGGCCTCGGAGGTCGCCAGGAGGAGGCCCCAGGCCCAGGCCATGGGCGTCGGACCTCTGGGGCCTGGGGCCCGGGTGCCCCCAGGCTTAGGTCGGGCCTGTCCCCCTACAGGGGGACTTCGGGCGAAAAAAATAAAGATACCCGAAAAAAATACAACAAATGCTCAAAAATAGCGAAAAAATAGTCCCCAGATAGTTTTTGGACTATTTTTGAATATTCCCCCTGTAGAGGGACAGGCCCGACTTAACCCCAGACCGAATGGTCCCACAACTTGGTTTGCTCCACGCGGGGTCCGTGGAAGCTGGCGCTTCCTCCTGAGCCGTCGTTGGGCGGTCCTGGGGCCCAGTGTCAGCGGCCAGCCCGGGGGGGGACGGCCTTCTGAGAGAAGTTTTCCGAGCCTTCCCCAAAGACACAGAAAATTTCTCGAAAGATCGGAGGGCGTCTGACAAGCTCCGCCGCCTTCTGAGAGGGCCTTCTCTTTCTCACTTCCCACCCCCTCGCTCGCCGCCGAAGGTGAGGGCCCCCTGAGGCAGGAGACGGCGAGGAACTTCCGCATTTTGTGGTTTCGGTACGTCGGAGGTCTGGGGGGGGGGCCTCGAGAGCACGCCTGGCGAGACCCAGAGGTCCCCTGGGGATGCAAAACGGCGCGAAAAGCGAGGGGGGGGCACACTGGGCCAGGGTCCTCCCTGGCAACCCCTGACGAGACCCAGAGGTCCCAGAGGTCCCTCGAGAGCACGCCTGACGAGGCCCAGAGGTCCCCTGGGGATGCAAAACGGCGCGAAAAGCAAGGGGGGGCACACTGGGCCAGGGTCCTCTCTGGCAACCCCGGAGCGGACGGGAGGAAACGCGGGCGGGAGCGCTGGCCTGGAATGCTTCGAAAGGCGGAACTGCGCGAGCCAGCACAGGCCCCGGGCTGGCTCAAGAAGACATGCGGCCTGAGGAAGGAGGAGAAAGAGACGAAAGGAGGGGAGAAGAGAGGGAGGGAGTGGAGGAGGGAGGATAAATGAGTAACGAGGGACGGAGGAAGGGAGGGGAGAAGCTACCTGAAACTCCTCCTCCAGGCAACCTCCCCTCCTAATCCTCCTGATCCTCCTCCTCCTCCTCCTCCTCCTCCTCCTCCTCCTCTTCCTCCTCGCCACCATCATCATCATCATCATCATCATCATCATCATCATCAGCAGCAGCAGCAGCATCATCATCATCATCATCATCATCATCATCATCATCATCATCATCATCATCATCATCATCATCATCATCATCATCATCATCATGATCATCATCATCATCCTCATCATCATCATCATCATCATCACCACCACCATCATCATCATCATCCTCATCATCAACAGCATCATCATCATCATCATCGTCAGCATCGTCATCATCATCATCATCATCATCATCATCGTCATCATCATCATTATCCTCATCATCGTCATCATCAACATCATAATTATCATCATCAGCAGCAGCATCATCATTATCAGCAGCAACAGCATCATCATCATCATCGTCGTCGTCATCATCATCGTCAGCATCATCAGCATCATCATCACCATCAGCATCTACATCATCATCAGCCTCAGCATCATCATCACCAGCATCATAATCATCAGAAGCATCATCAGCAGCATCATCATCATCACCATCGTGATCATCATCATTATCGTCACCATCATAACCAGAATCATCATCATCATCAGGATCATCAATCATCATCAGCATCAGCATCAGCATTAGCGAGGGTGCGCCGATGGATCTCCCCAAGGGGGGGGGGGGTTAGAACCCCCCCCCCCTTTCCCCGATCCCGTCGGGGTCGGGGAACCCCCACCCCTTCCCCCCCTTTCAAAAGGGGGGAGGAGGGGTCCGACCCCCCCCCCCCTCCCCCCCTTTCGCCACGCCGCCCCCTGAATCCGGAACCCGACCCCCGCCACCCCTACCCCTAGTCCTCACCCTAACCCAAACCCCTAATCCGAACCGCAACCACTAACCCCAGCCCCAAAGAGCACCCACTACTCATTACGCACTACCCACTACTGACTACTCGATATTCGCTACTCACTTCTCACTACCCCCTACTCACTACTCACGACTCACTACTCACTACCCACTACTCACTACCCACCACCCACTACTCGCTACTCACTACTCCCTACTCACGACTCCGTCCTCCCTACTCACTACTCACTCCTCACTCCTCACTACCCACTACTCAATACTCACTACTCACTAAGCACTACTCACTACTCCCTACTCACTACTCACTAATCACTACTCATTACCCACTACCCACTGTCCACCACTCACTACTCACTACTAACTACTCATTGCCCACAAATCACTATTCACTACCCACTACTCGCTACTCGCTCCTCCCTACTCCCTACACAATACTGACTACATAGTACTCAGTACTCACTATTATTCGCTATTCCCATACTCGCTACTCAATACTCACTACTCACTCCCCGCTACTCACTGTTCACTACTCACTACTTACTACTCCCTAGTCACTAGTCACTACATAGTCTCTAGTCGGTAGTCACAACTCACTAGTCACTAGCCACTAGTCACTAGTCACTACTCACTACCCACTACTCACCAATCACTACTCACTACCCACTCTTCGCTACCCACTTCTTACTACTCACTGCTCACTACTCCCTATTCCCTACTCCCTCCTCACTACTCATTACTCATTGCTCACTACTCGCTACTCCCTACTCGTTACTCACTAATCACTTCCCACTACCCACTACTCACTACTCACTACTCACTACGCCGTACTCGCTCCTCACTACTCACTACTCGCTACTCCCTACTCGCTACTCACTACTCACTACCCACTGCCACTACCCACTACTCTCTCTCTCTCTCTCTCGCTCGCTCTCTGTATCACTACTCACTACTCACTACGCACTACGTACTACTCAGTACTCACAACTCACGACTCACTACTCGCTACTCACTACTCACTACTCACTACTCACTGCTCACTACTCACTACTCACTACACACTACGCACTACCCAAATCACTACTCGCCATCCACTACTCACTACCCACTAGTCACTACCCACTACTCAATACACCCTTATCCCTAGTCAGTACTCGCTACTCGCTACTCGCTACTCACTACTCACTACTCACTACCCACCACTCACTACTCACTTATCAGTACACACTACTCACTATTCACTACTCACTACTCCCCACTCCCTACCCCCTACTCCCTACTCGCCATTCACTACCCACTACTCACTACCTTATACTCACTAATCACTACGCACTAACTCACTACTCACTACTCACCACTCCCTACTCCCAACTCCGCACTCCCTACACGAGGGGGGGGGTCCGAACCCCCCGTTCCCCTTTCCAGCGCCAAGGGGGGGAGGGGGGGGGGGGGGGGTCCGGACCCCCCCCCCCATTCAAGAGAGGGGGGGGGGGGGGGGCCCCCCCCCCCCTTGAGTGGAGGGGAGGGGGGGGGGGGTCCGGACCCCCCTCCCCCTTGAAGGGGGGGAGGGGGTGGGGGTTCTGGACCCCCCCCCCCTTTAGTGTATTCAAGGAGATCCACTGGCGCACTTTCAGCATTAGCACCAGCATCATCATCATCAGCATCATCAGCAGCAGCAGCATCAGTATCATATCAGTATCAGTCATCATCATCATCATCATCATCATCATCATCATCATCATCATCATCATCATCATCATCATCATCATCATCATCATCATGATCATCATCATCATCATCATCATCATCATCATCATCAGCATCAGCATCAGCATCAGCATCAGCATCAGCATCAGCATCATCATCATCATCATCATCGACATCGGCATTATCATAAACATCATCACCAGTAGCATCAGCATCACCATCACAAGCATCATCATTATCATCATCAGCATCATCATCAGCGTCATCGAAATCATCAGCAGCATCATCAGCATCATCAAATTCATCCGTATCATAGTCACCATCAGCATCATGTCATCATCAGCATCATCATCATCGTCATCATCATCATCATCAGCATCATCATCATCATCATCATCATCATCATCATCATAATCATCATCATCATCATCATCATCATCATCATCATCATCATCATCGTCGTCATCGTCATCATTAGCATTATCATCATCATCACCATGAACAACACCATCACCATCGTCGTCATCACCATCAGCAGCATCATCATCGTCAGCATCAGTATCATCATCATCAGCAATATCATCATTAGCAGCATCAGCATCAGCAGCAGTCTCATCCTCATCATTATCGGCAGCATCGGCAGCATCATCAGCATCAGCACCTGCATCATCAGCATCAGCATCATCATCAGCATCATCATCATCGTCATGATCCGCATCCGCATCCGCAGCATCATCACCATCATAATCATCGGCATCCGCAGCATCATCATCATCATCATCATCATCATCATCATCATCAGCATCAGCATCACCAGCATCATCAACATCATCATCATCATCATCCCCATCGTCAGCAGCACCATCATCTATAACCATCAGCATCATCATCAGCATCAGCATCAGCATTGTCATCATAAACAACAGCATCGGCACCAGCATCATCAGCCACAGCATCATCAACAACATCATCAGTATCGACAGCAGCATCAGCATCACCGTCGTGATCAGCATCAGCATCATCAGCAGCAGCATCAGCAGCATCATCGCCATCATCATTTGCAGCAGCAGCATCATCATCATCGCCATCAACATCACCATCATCACCATCCTCAGCACCGACAGCATCATCATAATCCGCAGACGCAGCATACTGATCATCATCAGCAGCATCATCAGCAGCATCATCAGCGTCATCATCATCCTCATCATCATCAACAGCATCATCTTCAGCATCAGCATCACCATCAACATCATCAACATCCCCATCTCCATCGTCATACTTCGAAGTACTACGCTATACCCCCATTGATTCTCCTCCGCCTCCTCCTCCTCCTCCTCCTCCTCCCCCTCGTCGTGCTCTTGAATCCAACTGATGCTCCTCCTTCTCCTTCTCCTCCTCCTCCTCCTCCTCCTCCTCCTCCTCCTCCTCCTCTTCCCCCCCTTTCCTCTTCAGGCTTCGCACTGTGAGGCTCCCAATGACCATTCGGGAGAGGGGGGCTGAAGACTTGACTCCACCCCAACCCCACCCTTAAGCAGAGCCCAGACCAGCTGACTGAGCCGATCGTGGTCCACGACAAACATCGTCCTCCTCCACCTGATCATGTTCCTCCTCGTCCTCCTCCTCCTCGTCCTCCTCCTCCCCCGTCTCCTCCTCCGTCTCATCCTCGTCCTCCTCCTCCTCCTCCTCCTCCGTCTCCTCCTCATCGGTATCATCATCATCATCATCATCATCATCATCATCATCATCATCATCATCATCATCATCATCACCATCATCAGCATCAGCATCATCATCATCATCATCATCATCATCATCATCATCATCATCATCGTCATCATCATCATCATCATCACCATCATCATCATCATCATCATCATCATCATCATCAGCAGCATCATCATCATCATCAGCATCATCATCATCATCATCATGATCATCATTCTCAGCATCATCATCATCATCATCATCATCATCATCATCATCATCATCATCATCATCATCATCATCATCATCATCATCATTAGCATCATCATGATCATCATCATAATCATCAGCATCATCATCATCAGCAAAAGCATCAACATCAGCAACATCAGCATCATCAGTAGCATCATCGTCACAAGCATCATCATCAGCAGCATCATCAGCAGCATCATCATCAACAACATCATCACAATCAGCATCATCATTCGCATCGTCACAAGCGGCATCATCAGCAGCATCATCAGCATCAATATCATCATCAGCAGCATCGTGATCAGCATCATCATGAGCATCGTCATCATCATCAGAATCATCATCAATAGCAGCAGCGTCATC